ATCGAGCATTAGGTGATATGGAAAGTAATTGGGTTGGCCCTATTTTCCTACCTCCTTGATTTTCTTAGGATCAAGAAGTTTAAATTATAATCCCTTTAAAAGATTTTTTAAAGATTCTCTTAATAGGTTCTCTTTTCAACAGATTTGCTTTATTTTTAAAGATTCAAACTTTAAAATTCTATCTTTTGGAGTTTGATAGAGTTGAGTTTTCACTTTTGTATATATTTGTTTTTGCTTAAAAGATATTATCTGATCATCGCACGCTCATCACTAGATCAAAAAAAAAAATTCTACCATACTATAGAAACCACCATTTGTATTGTATGATACATGTGTTAGAATCTATTGAGATGAATTCAATAAGGTCGATACAATCATAATTATATTTCATACTAAATAAATCACCATTCGTACTATATGGTATATGTGTTAGAATATATTGGGATGAATTCAATTTGATCGGTACGATCATAATTGCATTTCATACTAAATGTACCACTATTTGTACTATGTGATACACGTGTTAGATTCTATTATGAAAAATTCAATTCAGCCGGTACGATCATAATTGCACTTCATATTATATGAACAACTGTTTGTATAATACATTACATTTAGTTAAAAGTCATTATGATGATTCCTCAAGATGAATGCAATTCTTTAAGATTATCCAGTATGATACTGATTATATTGTATAATTTGACCACCTTTTCCCAACAAGACGTCCAGACAATTTAACTCTTCTGATCATACTGTACAATCTAAAATTGTATTGTGTGATTTCCCATAAATCTATAAATTGAAGGGACTTCTATATTTTTAATCCACTGAAATCCTTCTTTCTTCACATTCCTAGAGTCATAACCTTAGGATTTCATAATGATCGGTGGAAGTTAATGAGGTCGAATGACCCAAGGGAGCTCCTCCTCTTGTCGCTCAATCAACGATCAATTTTGATCCGTTCAAGATGAAGATGCGTACTACAAATTCAAAGAGGCTTGCATCTCCTCCTCTAGAATGCTCAATCGTCCTGCTCTAAACTTCAAGGTGATGAACCTCTTTGCTTCCACAACTCTTCAATTGCTTCTCACCCTAGAATTTCCTTTTAATTCTAAACTAACCTATGAATTTTTAGCCAACCTTAGGATCAATGCAAAAACCTTCACCAAGATCGCCTATGTATGTTGACGACATGTAGAAATCAATAAGGAAGATTTAGGGGAGTTTATTGATCATTCTACGGCACGAACTCGTCTATAATCCATGGCCTCTAGAACTAATTTTGACTAGAGTGATGTAAACCTAACAATTCCAAATGTGGCTTTAAATCAACATTAACCCTTAGTCCACTCTATAAATCAAAATGCTTGAGTTTCCCAACATGTTCTTCTAACTTCAATTATACCCAAAGTTGATGACATGTTAACATCACTCCACTTCTTTCCCTAGTTATCTATTTTGTAATGTTCAATAGTAAATTTGATGAAGCTCAAATGATTATTAACTATATCCAAAACATGACTCCAATTCAACATCCCTTAACTTGGAGAAAATAAAATGTTGACCTAGGTCATGTCATAGCCTATATCCTCAACAAGAAATACAAAATCACCTATCATACACCTCCTAACAATACTCCTATCTTTTATATAGATGCTTCCTACTATATTTTATTGAGGGAGAAAATTATGTTTGATTGTATGTGTGGTTGTATATTTTTTAAAATAAAATTCTATATATGTTTTTATTTCTACTACTTTATTTTTCTATCTTTAATTTTATTATTTTTCTCTATATTAAAATAAATTGAAATAAAAAACTTGAACCCCTAATTTTTAAATCTATCACCTAGTGAGAGGCAGCATAAGAGAAAAGAATTTTATTTTATCTCTCAACCAAAATAGTTTATCATCATAAAAAAGTAGGAGATTATTGCAATCCAAGATCTCAATTATGTAATTTTGATGATGTCAAACATTATTAATTGAATTATAATTTTTCTCTTTTTTTTTTTTAAGAAATGCATCATATTGCATTAAAACCAAAGTGGAAACTAATTACAAGTAACAAAATGATCACATTCCTCCGTGATTAAGCCCAACAACAAGGAAGGAATGTTATCAAAAGAAAAACTATCAAAAAAGAAACTACTCTCCAATGCCATAGTAGCACACAATTTGCTACTTTATTACAACTTTTATAAGCATGGAGGAATACAACTTTATTGAAATCATTAAGAAAACATAACTTCTTATGCGGCCAAATATCGACATGCTCCTTATTCTTCTTTAAAGAATTCTGTATGAATTTGATAATCTTTATATTATCACTCTCTATGATTAGCCCATTACATTCTAACATCCAGCTCCTCAAGAATACCCTAACCGTGAGGACTGCTTCTAACTCAAGCTGACCAATATCCCAATGAGATCCATTCTTTCCAAAGGCACCAATAAACCAGCCTTTGTAGTCACGAAAAACCCCTCCAATGCCAGCCTGATTAGAGCTTGTTAAAGATGCATCTACATTAATCTTAATTCAATCTTTCGGTGGAGGGTACCAAGTGCTTTTAGACTCCCTAAGGAGATTAGTACCCCAGCTAGAGAGATATGGACTAGATTTGGAGACGGCTAAAAATAGGGCATTAGCAGCAATAGTAGAACATGGCAGAGCAGACTTACTATGCTTGATATCATTCCGGTTCTTCCAAGAGTAATACACAATAGAGCAGTACACACTAACAATCCAGGAATTCTGGGTAGATATCTTCTTAAGCTCCCTCAAATAGCAATCCAGTGAACTGAAGACATAAATAAAGATACCCCACTCCCGCAACTTCATGATAATTTCAATTAAGTACTTACAATGCACCATAATATGTTCATATGTTTCATTAACTTGGCAACCTCTAGCACAAAGAGTATTATCTGAAATTTTCTGGCTCATAAGGAACATGTTAGTAGGAATAGCTGATTTACCCAACCTCCCCCAGAATATTTCAACTTTCTTATTCATCTTCAGCTTCTGCACCCAGCTGAAGTAATCCACATCCTCCAAATTACATCTGTTGAACCACATTTGTTCATACACCAAGGCAGACACAGTCTTTCCCGAACACATCTTCATCAGCTCCAACCGGTCCTCCTCATCATGCTCAATAGGAATTTGAGTAATTAATGAAATAAGATCACAATGAAATGCCCTTTGTAACATAGCAGAATTCCACGTACCATTAGATAAAACCAGCTGCTGCAGATTCATACCATCCAGAAAATTGCAATCAGCAAAAGTTGGCCAGCGGTTTATACATCTATCATGCAGCCATGTATCATTTAAAATACTAATTTTATCTCCTCTGCCCACCTTCCATCGAACCGCCATCTTCAGATTTCTCCCACCATCCAACAAAATTTTCCAAGCATTTGAATTGATGTTCCTTTGAGCTCCATTCATCACATTATCACCATACTTGTTCTTCATGACACAGTGAAGCAAGGAATAAGGCTTCTGTATATAATTCCATGTCACTTTGGATCTTAAAGACCCAATTCTATGTAGAGGAGAATGCAAGCCCAATCCTCCCAAACTCCTTGGTTTGCAAATATCACTCCAAGTAATATAATGCATACCCTTGGTCTTCTATGCCAAATAAAGCTTCTACACATTTTTCCCAGCTCATGTAATAACCTCTTGGGTACCATAGAATGAGTAATTAAAAAAAAATTTCATAGAAAGCAAAGAACTTTCAATGAGAGTCAATTTACCTCTCAAAGATAAAGACTTCCTACTCCAAGCATTAATTCTATCCATGAAATTACTCAAAATATCTTGATAGTCAGCCATCTTAATTCTATCAAGCGATATCTTCACTCCCGAATACTTCATTTCCTTCACTACTTTGAAGCCAAGAACCCTGCCAATCCTTTTCTTCATATGATAACTGACCACCTTGCCGAACAACAACTGAGATTTACTGACATTAATTTTTTGCCCAGTCCACTTACAGAACTTCTCCACAATGTTCTTCAAAACATTAGTAAGATTAACAGAAGCATGAGAAATAATAAGAGCGTCATCTGCATAAAGCAAATGTGTGATCTTTGGTCCTCAGTTGAAATTTGAATGCCAAGACTCTCCCCCCTTTGCTCTAGTGAGTTGGTAATCAATTGAAAACACATGATGAATAGGTACGAAGAAAGTGGACATCCTTGACGGAATCCACTCTGAGCATTAATCCACTCAGAATTCTTCCCATTGATAATAACGAAAAATCTCACATCTACAACACATTCCAAGAGAAGATTAGAGAAAACAGTAGGAAAAGCGTACCAAATTAAAATGTGCCGAAGAGTTGTCCATCCCATGCTATCATATGCTTGCTCCATATCCAGCTTCACAACCATCAACCCCTTCTTGTTCTTCTAGAGTTTGAACTTGTGGAAAATCTCCTGAGCTAACAAGCAATGCTCAGCAATAGATCTTCCATGGATGAAGTCAGCTTGCTCTTCAGAAATCATCTTAGAAATACCCCTCTTCAATCTGTTAACTAACATAGTAGCCACTATCTTATAGTTAGTTTAACTTAGGATAATGGGCCTAAAATTAGAAGGAGTCAAGGGATTCTTAATTTTAGGAATTAAGATAATCAAGGTATCTTTCCATTCCTTATTCATACGACTGGAATTAAAGAAACTCCTTACATAATTACATAGAGTTTCCCATACAATATTCCAATAGCTCTTATAGAAGGAAGAAGTAACACCATCCACACCTGGAGACTTATTGTTCCCTTGGTGAAACACCAAAATCTGCAGCTCATTCACAGAAAAATAAGCATTAAACATTTCCATATCTTCATCAGTTATCCTCTGGTTTTCCATAACTGCTGGCCAACCCGTAACCTCACATTCCCTATACTTCCACTTCTTCTGAAAAAAACTTATGAAAATCTTCTCAATTTGATCCTCCTCATCATGCATCTTGTTAAATTCATCTTTAATTTAAAAAATACGATTCCCATTCCTTCTAGCCATGGCAAAGCTATGGAAAAGCTTGGAATTTGTATCACCTTCCTCATGCCACCTAGCCTTAGCTCTTCGGTTCCACCAAGTAGAAAGTCTTCTCAAAGTAACATTGAATTCATGTACTTTGCTTCTAAGTTCGAAAAGGTCTTCAGCAGACCAATTAATACCCAATGCTTCCTTATTTTGCAAATCAAGGATTTCCTTCTTCAATTTCTCCTTCAACACATTCAAGTCTTTGCATTTGTTTTTGCTCCAAAAAAATAAAGCTTTCAATGTACGACTAAGCTTCCTTTGTAGAACCGTATAATCATCACCAAAATCATTCTTTTTCCAAGAATGATAAACAATGCTCTTAGCTGCAGGATAGGATCTCCACGTATCTTCAAACTTAATGGTCTTCGACTTAAACCGCATCCCTTCTTCCATCTTAATAGCAATAGGACAATGGTCAGACGCCATCCTAGCCAGATGTCTGTTAACTACTAAAGGAAGCTTCTGAATAGCCGCCGAATTCACTATACATCTGTCCAATCTCTCCCAAATCCGAGAGGTACCCTCTTTGTTGTTACACCAAGTAAATCTTGGCCCAACACTACCAATATCATGAAAATCTGAATTCATCATGAAGTCTTTCATTTCTATAGGTCCTTTAGAAAACAAGAACCTCTTACCTCCTCTCTTCTCATCCTTATTTAAAATACAATTAAAATCCCCCCCGATAATGGAAGGAATAGACTTCCCCATGCATTTCTCCAACTGATTCCAAAGACCACTTCTCTCCTTACAACAATGACTACCATAAACAGTAGCAATTTTCCAAATTCCCAAGCTAGGAACCTAGAGATTGCCAATAATAACCTGTGACGAAGCCTCCAAAACTTTGAATGACACTAACTTCACCTTCCAAAGTACCAAAATACCTCCAGAAGTCCCAATAGCAGGTTGGTGAAAATAATCCCAATCATTCCCCATAAAACAATCAACCTCCCTTCTATCAGTACTATACAATTTAGACTCCATAAGCCCAATAAAGAAAACATCTTCATCTCTAACAATCTCCTTAAGATATAAGGAAGCCTCCTTCTTCCTTGCTCCCCTACAGTTCCAAAATAAAATTGAAGACATTTTTTAAAAAGGTATAGAGGATCTCTCCCCACTATTGGGGTTCAACCTTCTATTCCTCTTCTTCTCTTTTTGATAGTCATTCTCAACAGGTCCCAAGGATTTCAATTCCTTGGCTAGCTTGAACTTGACATCACCACAACTAGAATCCAATTCAATATGACTAACCTCTGGATCAACTGTTTCCGAGCCTTTGTCCACAAGTTTATCAGAACTTCCAACATTCCCAAGATCTTCCTCTCCCTCAATGAAAACAGCAAACAGATTCGTTGATTGAACGCATGTCTCGGCTTCAGCACCCTTTTCAAAATTTGAAACCTTCCCTGGAACACCACCTGATTCATCAACACTACCATTAGCCTCTGCTCTAATATGGACTTCCTCCAACAAAATTTCCTGCTGGTTATCAGAACTGCTTTTCCCTGGTTCCAAAATAAAATTGAAGACATTTTTTAAAAAGGTATAGAGGATCTCTCCCCACTATTGGGGTTCAACCTTCTATTCCTCTTCTTCTTTTTTTGATAGTCATTCTCAACAGGTCCCAAGGATTTCAATTCCTTGGCTAGCTTGAACTTGACATCACCACAACTAGAATCCAATGCAATATGACTAACCTCTGGATCAAGTGTTTCCGAGCCTTTGACCACAAGTTTATCAGAACTTCTAACATTCCCAAGATCTTCCTCTCCCTCCTCAATCAAAATAGCAAACCGATTCGTTGATTGAACACATGTCTCGGCTTCAACACCCTTTTCAGAATTTGAAACCTTCCCTGGAACACCACCTGATTCATCAACACTACCATTAGCCTCTGCTCTCAGATGGACTTCCTCCAACAAAATTTCCTGCTGGTTATCAGACGCTTTTCCCTGGTTTACTTCCATTATCCTTTACACCTTTATTATTTGTAATGTCTCTTCTAAAACGTCTATTTTTTGAATTGGACATGAATCCACGGGCCATATTCAGTACTTACCACAGAGTGTTTATTGTCACATCCAGCCAATTCACCTTGCCCGTTAACTGCATCCATCTTCTTCAATGTTTGATCCTGTAACACTAGAGTGACATTATCCGAATAAATCTTCCTGTCATGGCCCACTCTCCCGCATTGATAACACATAAGATCAATTTTTTCGTACTCCACCCGTTGGAAAAACCTCCTAGCTGAACCTTCAACCCAAGCACCATTCAAAAGTTTCTTCTCCAAATCAATCCTTACACAAACTCGGGCGAATTCCCGTTTACTCCAACGGAATGTATTACCATCCACATACATTGGTAATCCAAAGCAAGAAGCAACTCTTTCTATGTTGTCTTCATCCCAACAATATAGTGGTAAGCATGGCAATCTAATCCATACAGAGGTAGAGATTCCCTTAAACAAATTCGGATCAAATGCAGGAGTCCATCTATCCATACCAACAATAAATCCATTCACATACCAAGGCCCACCATTCAGAATTTCATCAACCACCTCACCTGAATTGAACGAACAAAGGATCCAATCCAATCCAATTGAAGTTAAATGAAATTTTCCATAATTTCTCCACTGTCTTCTCAGCTCCAAGCTACAAACTGGAAATGGCACACTTTCCCCAATACTTTAAGTACTATCGAATTCTTCAAAACTTTAGAATTCTCTACCTCCCTTTCCGCATTCAACTTGACCGCAACCCCATCATCAGAAAATTCCACCTGGTCTTTATCGAACGTAATCTTGATATGCTTCGATTTCGACCAAGCCTCAGCAACTTCACCAATGCCTTTCAAAGAATTTTTGGAATTTTCCACGATTTTCTCATCCTTCTAAGCTTCCAAAGAAACAGGGCCATCCTCAATACTACGCCCTTTATATGAGTCAAGAACTTCAGAGAAATTTCTCGCCCGTAAAACCAAATCATCAGAAGTTGAAGATTCAAGATTCACCAAACCAGGAGTAATTTGGACATTCATCTTCTTCCATCATCACATTCTTCCCCTTGCCTTCAATATGTTCTTAACGAATCATAGGCTTAACTCCTTCCCTAATCACAATACCAGTCGATCCTCTGCCATTAGCCCGAAGGGGGCCAGATGATCGTGGAGTAATCATAAAAACCGAAAGAAAGACGTCGCCGATCCTCCGACGCAAGCTCCTCCGATCGCGAAAAACCCGCGAAACCCAAATTCAAACCAGGCAGCGAGCTTTCTCTCTCTTATAACTGCTTGTTGAAAAGTCTATTCTAGATCTTTTGTTATAACTTTTCTCAGTATATCATTTGGATATTCTTTTTATCTAACTCAACATTTGGTAGAATAGGACGTCAAGTAAAATGATTTGTACTTTTTTTTAATTTATATTTTTTGAGTTTGGCCACATAAGAGTGTATGCAACTAGATGATAATGTACACATACACACATAAGGAGAGAAAATTTTAAAGTTAAAATTTTTTGTACTAATCATATTATTCCAATTACAATCGTACTGTAAGATCAATTATATGGAGAATGGCCTTAATAGCTAATTGAATAATTAATTTTTGAGAACTAATCATACCGTATAATTCATAACGATCTGAAAACCCTAGTCACCAGATAAATTAAGATATTCAAAATTTGAATTTTGAACTAATTGTAATGTAAGATGTGATTTGTACTTTACAAAAATTTTAAATCTTACTTAAATTTATCCCCATAATTAGTCAATCAAATTATGGTTTAATTAATGATAGTCCATCATACTAAACAATGTTGATCATATCGTATGATTGATAGAGACAAAGTTTGGTTGTCCCAAAGATCTTACCCAACAAAATTATGCTTTTTGAACTAACAGTAATGTATGATTTTCACATCGTATGGGAGGAACCACTAAAAATGAACTAACTGTACAATACGAAGAGAGTAGAACATAATGATTGATAGAGATGATTTTCAATCATCCTATATAAATAAAAAGAAAGTAAATAGATCATATTGGATGATCTTAGGATCATATTGTATAATGTGTTCGAAAAGTTAAATAATTATTTTGAATGATTGTTTGCATCATAGTAGACAGGTCTAGTTTTTTGAACTGATGATACTGCATAAATTCCAATTGTATTGTATGAATAGATATGACCAACTTAAACTTCTAGGATTTCTTGAAACCTAATACTTAAGCAATGTTTGAAGAATCTCTTAAAAAAAAAGAGAGAGGATTATATGAATGTTGAAGGAACTCTGAGAGAGGTGCTTTGGAGAGAAAATCAAGGTTTTAGAGGAAGGAGAAGGTGAAGTCAAACATGAGGGAGAAAGATACTGAGGGGATCACACAATTGCTCCGAGCTAACTAAACACTTTCTCCTCCTATGGCCTTAGTGAGTCCTTGAAGGCTCTCTTGGGAGAGAGGCTTCAAAGTTAAGTCCTTAAGGTACTATGCCTTCTCTAGGAGGGAGAAAAAGATTGGAGGTACTCTGCCTTCTCCATGAGGGATTAAAAGCTTTGGGTTCTCTTCTTTCTCTAAGAGGGAGAAAATTTATTCAAGGTCCACCGCTGTCACTAGAAAAATTGACATAGCTTCCGACACTCCGCCACATCAGGTTTGGTGAAATTGAGTATGTAATGGCTTCCCTTCCCTGTTATGAGAGCAAAAGGAGAGTTACTTAGTGTTAGTGCACTACCGAGAGCGGAGGGCTCTGAGAATAGGCATAGGTCAAGGTTGATCGAACAACTTTAAAAAAAAATTATGTGTTTTTCCATTTTTTGCGATTTTATTTTCTTATAATTATTTCCTTATAAGTTGAGTTTATTGGTTTCAATCTTATCAATCAACAATGCTGAGTTTAACCCTTTTTGCTACAAGAATATTTACATGTGTTAAAAATTTTTAAAAAAAAACTTTTATCATATAAATTTTAATATAAATTGCTTTGACATGTTATTTTGAGTAATCTATATGAATTAAGTTGCTTAAGTTATTTTGTGGCTAAAAAAAATAGTATTCATGTGTAGGGGTTTTTTTAATTCATAATTCATCCCCTCTCTTGGTGTGCCTTAGGCTAATTCTATGATATTTAACAACCTTCTCAAACTTTTAACTTCTTACCAAATAGAGCTTCATATTGAGTCATACCTATATTTGATTGAAAATTATTATTATAAGAAGACTTGATCAAGGGAACGTGGTCTTCCCAAGTACCACCAAAATTTAAAACACATAATCTTAAAAGGTTTTATGGTACCTATGTAGTCCTCTAAAATTGTTGATTAGTTAGAGGATGAAATGTTATACTAAAATGCATTTTTCTTATCCAAACCTCATTGAATACCATGTTGAGTCTAGTGAATAGGTTGTTAAATCTAAGTTAATGTCCCAAGGCTACCAAGAGGGGGGGTGAATTGGTAGTTTAAAAATTATCCCTCTTTTTGATCTTTTGAACTGAAAGTAAACTTTAATAAAAATTTTTATAACAAGTTTTTTTTTTCAACCACAACTTTTCAAACAAATAAAAAACATGCATAAAATAAAAAGCAGTAAAAATAAACG